TCTCTCCTTTTCCGATGTTGGAAGAGGCCAATGGTAAGAGGACTGTTGGATGGAGCAAGTCTGTTCTCTAGATGGGCGAAAATGCCAGGCCAGGCCCGAGCAGTCTGACTAACCTTCCAGTCTGCCTAGCAGCCACTGTGTGCAGCGGGATCACAGAGGAACCAATAACAAGGTCTGCACTCTCCTGGTCTTCCTGGGTGGCCAGTGTCACTGTTGACCAAGGAAATAGCACAGGCTGCCTTTCTTCTGTCCCACATCCCAGGACAATAGGAGCTATGTGTTTGGAGAGGGAATTGGCCCAGAGTGACTTACAGGGGGGACTGGGGGTGGGGTGGGGTGGGAGGTGTCCTTGCCCTCCTGATTTCTTTTTTCTGTCCCGAGGGCCCCTGATCTAAGCTTCCTACAGTGTGTTAGAGCTTAGTTCTGTCCTGTTCTTTTCCATAGGATTTGGTTATGGCAGTACCAAGTGCACTGTTAATGTTCTTAGAAACATATATAAAGTGAATTCTTAAAATAAAGTGAAACATACCTTAAGGTCAGGAGAGTTCTTCCAGCACCCCCACTTGTCCCTTCTGTAAAGAAGGCCTTTGGTGAATCTTTGAGAAGGAAGTAATGCTTTTTTTTAATAGTGGGAAGAATCAGATCTTGATCGCTCTGGTTTATAAGTTTTGAGATTTTTGAATGTCAAATTCTCTTAAAGTGGGATTCCGGCCATATGGCACCGGTAGAAAGATGTTGCATATGGTGAGACACTATGGCATGGACCCCTGGGAGGTTCCAGCATGCACATCACCTCCAAGTACTGGGCCTGATTGAATGCCACTGGCTTAATTAGCATATTGAACAAGACAAATTTCTTTTTAAACTTAGGTTCATTGGAAAATGAAAATGTTTTCTTTATCTATTTTGGAGCAGGTAGAAGCATTCAGAGCAATGTGGCCGACAAGCAAATGGAGAACTAACTAAGGGGAATAATTTGTTGCTCATTTGATTTTGAATCTGAAATTTTAACCAGAACTTGCATTTGAATGCTGTTTTTATCATTTTCTGTCATATTTCCTTCCAGTATATGTCATTAATTATAATTCATAGCTTATTAAAGCTAATAAAAAAATTTTTTTTGATGGTGCCAGGCGTTGAACCCAAGGCCTTGTGCATGGTGGGGGCAAGCACTCCACCAACTGAGTTATATCCCCAGCCCAATCCAATTTTGACACCAGGAGCTCAGACTTTCTTTTTGAAGTGGAGGATGGGGGGAGGGGTGGCGGTGCTGGTGATGGAAACCTAGGATCTCTGCATTCCAGGCAAGCTTTCTGCCACTGAGCACACCCCAGACCAGTTTAGACTCTTTCAAGAAGATTCTGTAAAGACCTAGGCTGCCCAAGGGAAGTTGTATTAAGCTTATTATAAGAATATAGTAGGGATATCACTTCACCTCTTTATGGTGAAGCTTAATGCCCTTTTTAGGAACACGGAGGAATTCAATTTTAGAATTTAATGGGTTCTTGAGGAAAATATAATGTTTGTTTTCTAGAAAAGGAAGTGAGATGTATGATCACATAGCAGTTACTAGTAGCAAAGCCCAGGAGCACATTTCTCAAGAGGATGCTTGTGTAGGCTCGCTGGCTGGGCATATAGAAAATATTACAGACCCTACCTGATGACACTTTGAGCTTCTCACATGCTTAGTATCACCAAGCAGTACTTTAAAAAATACCCAGTAAACCAAGATTTTCCTAATTCTAATTGGTCTTTCCCTCAGGTCATTATAAGGTGTTGAAATTTTCCTACGTGTTGAGGGGATAAGTAGATATAATTGATTAGAAAAGGCTTTAGGTTGAGAACTGATGGAAGAATTCTACATCATTCATAGAAAATAGAAGGCTGAAATTAATAGAGCAGAACTGTACCTGGAGAAATACTCTCAAAACTCAGAGCTCTGGGGTGTTGGTGCCATGGTGTGGCAGCCCTGTGGTGAGTAAAGACCCTGTCCTGCTCGCCATGCACACACCCTGTCTCCGCAGTGGTAGGAAGTGAAAAAAAAAAAAAAAGAATAGATGGATTTATTTCTTTTCTTTTCTTTTATTCTTGCTGCTAGTGAAATGATCTTGATTAGAAAATCACATTAGAACTTCAGCAGTTGCTGTTTGAAATAGAGCTGTTTCCATGCCACAGACGTTTGGAGAGGAGATTGTTTATTGAAATGTATTTTTATAGAAAATATTACAGAACCTGTAATCGGAAACTGATGGCACTGTTTTGTAGAGTGATATGTTCCTAATGCTGGTTGTGGGTTCCCTCTGAGCTCCCTTCTGTTCTAGAACGATGAGCCGAGTGAACGTTCTCCAAAACTCTCTTCGGATCTACACCGAGCTTCATGGAACAGAGTTTTTAGGTGCTTGAGTAATGTATAAATCCTGTTGGACAGGAGCTGCCTGTCAGTTTTATTAACTTTGACCTTTTCTCCCATTATAAAGGTGGTCCGGTTAATATTTAATGGGCCCCTTATAGATCTTGACAGTTGGAGCTGTGTTCCTGGAAACTGGGATCCGTATATATGATTAACAAATGCCACTTAATCACTATGAGTCAGTTTGCAAGGGCAAGTTTCATTCTGGGGGAAGAGACGTCCCTCCACCTACATGGGCTCCAGGAGCTGTGCTGTGGTTGAGCGCCTCCAAGATGGTGGGCTGCACAGGAACCCTGTAAAAGGCAGATGCAGTTAGCATATAGTTCTGCTCTTTTGTGTTTTGTTTGAGCAGACGATTCAAATGATGCCAGGTGGGCAAAATCCCCCTGCCACTCTGCATAGTTTGCAGGACTCTTCCTCTCCAAGTCAGCAGGAGTGGAATGGCTGAGTTTGCATGGATAAAGGAGAGCCAAAAGGAGAGATGATTCCTTGAGCCAGGAGGGGCCCTGCCAAGCCGTCTTTCCCTTTAAATTCCATAAAGCCCCATGCATATTGCACTCATTGCAAATTCTAGTGGGGAAGATCGAAACCCAGGCAGCTGACATTTTGAAACATTGTCTTTCAAACTTGTACTGTCCCTTGCCTCCATTGATTTCCCATTTAAGAAATCTGTAGGAGAAAACCAAATTTGAACAAAATTCATTGGTCTAAGATGAGTTGTTAGAGGCAAATTATGCCCCCCTTTTCTATCCTGAGAAGAGCTCCATTTTTATTATGAAGGCAATATATCCTTGTCTTGTGTGGGACAGCCATAGACTGCACAGCAAATCGAACAAGTAAATCAAGAGCCTGTTAAGAAGCAGTATGGATGCTCCAAATACAGCCGTTTCAGTCTTGCTGGGTCACTGGTATCTTCATTTTTATAGCCACTTCCAAGGAGCAGATCATTTCAATTGGCTTTGTTTTCTTCACTCTGTTTGTGTGCAGCCCAGTGGCATTAGGTGAGGCCATTTATTTTTTAGAATGTTATTACCCTTCGCATCCAGGGCCCAGCCCTTTATATGTGGTGGTCAGCAGCTTCATTACCATGAGCTGTAAGTAGCTGACACGACAAAGAAAATCTATGCCTAGGAAGAACAGTTTGAAAAGAAATTGATCAGAATTTTAGAATGAATTACTCTTTGTACACTTACTTTATTCTAAATATATGTTTGAAAGATCTTGCTTAATTTGAGAAGAGAAGAGGAAACATTGGATGTTATAAATGGTCTCAGTCTAGATTCATAGCTTTACATTTGCACATTTGAGTGTTTTGTTTACATCTGTTCAAAATTGGGACAACTTTCAAGGCTGATTTTATTGTGAAGAGTTGATGATGACTCTTACAATCTAAAATACAAAGCCCAGAATTAAAAAGTCATCATTATATATCAAGCTGGAGAGACGCTTTATTTGGCAGTTAGTGAGAATGATGAGTTTTATAAATCCATAGGTCCTAGTGGTAGGAGTTGGGGGATTGGCTGCATGGGGCTGTGAGGGAGCTCTCTGCAGTGATGCAAGGTTTCTGTGTCTTGATTTGGGGTGTTAGTCATGCAGATAAATACTTCTGCCAAAACTTATCAAACTGTACACTTAAAATGTGTGCATTTTACACAAACTGTTATCTTGAAGTGGATTTTTAAAATTTCTTGTTTGGTTTAGAACTAGGCAGTGTCATTTCTCTTTTCCAATGGAGAAGGTGAAATACTGTAGAGGGTAAAATGATCTGTCCTGTAACTTCAGAGCTCAGCAGTTTGTCCAGGAATAAAGCAAAGGATGCTGGCACTGAGCCCACTTAAAGTATGTGCTTCCTCCCTGCTACTTGTTTCCAGTCATAGGTAAGTGGAGATGATATTGACTTCTTCACCAGTTCTCAACGAGCCTCTATTTGTATACATTTTGTCAGATATAGTCCTGAGTTTGTCCTTCTGATTGATGCTGGTACCTTAACCATGAAAACAGTAGCCGCGTGGCACTTGAGTGTGTGATGGTTGTGTGTTCCTGGCTCGCTATGATAGGCTACGAGTTTTGTGGTTTTTATTATATGGAAGATATGATAATAACATGAGTTCTCAGAACTAACTCTGTCTTTAAGGGAAACCTTGGACTCTTATTATTTTTTTAAAGTGACATAAGCTTTAAAATTATTTCCATAAAATATATGAATAAGAGTGAAAAATAAAGAAAAATTACCCAATTCCTACTAGTATTTAGAAATATACTGATAGCATTTTAAGTGTCTATTTACATGCAAATTATTTTTAATTCCACAAAATGATGTTGTAAAGTTCTTTTGACATTTTAACCGCTTTCCCAATTCACTGTTGGACAGTTTGGTTGAGTCCAGTGTTCATCATTGTGTAATGCTGCCATGAGCAACCTTATCCATATTTCTTTTCTATTAATGCACTTCTCTCTTTAGGAAAAATTCCTTGCAGCAGCATGTTGGTAGCTGGGTATGATATTCCTGAACTGGTGGAGCAGATTGGGACTGTGTCATTTGGTGGTCTGATGCTGTTTCCTCCCCCCTTTGTTTTCTTCTTCTCTGTAGTTGCAGTACCATGCAGGCCTGGCATCTGGCCTTTTGAATCAGCAGTCCTTGAAGCGGTCTGCAAACCAGATGGGAGTGTCTGCCAAGCGTCGACCAAAGGCACAGCCCACCACCCTGGTCCTGCCACCTCAGTGAGTGATGGGTTTGGAAAATAACTTTCCTTTTGGGTGAACTCGACATTGTGCTTGTTTTGAGCTGCTGGAAAGTTATTTTTGTTTTCAGAATTGTTTCTTTCTTTAAAAAAGGAGTATGGTGGAAATAGAAACCAAGTGCTATGGTAACATCCTTTGCATAGATCTTTATGAAGCAGCTGTAATGCAGTTTGTAGTTTACATGTTTTGTATGTGACCTTTCCTTCTAAGACTTTTAGATGACACATAGCTTATCATTTCATTTGTTTCCTTATCACAGTCCCAAACTTGGCCGAATATGATTACCCTTGTCCTTATCTGACAAAGGAGACAGCCGAGGAACGCCTAGAGAGTCGGCTAGAGCTGGCATTGGAAGCAGTTGGGTTGCTGCTTCTTTTGGGCAGTGACCATGTGCCCTTCTGCGCTAGGTGCAGCGAGGTTCCTAGGGCACACACCTCTGTGAGTTCTTTCACACATGTGGACCTCCACGTACTACCACTGCCAGAAGGCTGGAAGGGCCCCTTCCTTGCCTTGTTCCCAGCGTATTTGTGCTGCCTTCCTCCCTAGCCTGGCCTCTGAAACAGTTTGCCTACCCTTGAACTTCATATAAACGGAGCCGCACAACATGGCATCTCTGTCAGCTTGTGTTTGTGCTGGGGATTGAACCCAGGGCCTTGTGCATGAGGAGCAGTGTTCTACTACTGAGGTGCGCCCGCCTGGGACCAGTGTATCCATATTTTTCCACTCAATATCTTTAGATTCAGCAGGCTGTTTGTACTTTTTGTTGCTATGTCTTCTTGTGAATATGCCATGTTGTTTCATCCATTTACCTGTTAAGTTATTGTGTATCAAAAGCCCTAAGAGATGTGTTCCAAGGATTGCTTCATGATGCAGCTGTCAGTCCTTGCTGATAAAGAGGGGCCCCCCCCCCCCCAGAAGGCTGGGCATAGACTTCAGGCACATTCCTCAACTGTCCTGCTGTCCTTAGACTCCCTTTTGCTTATGAACTAAAAGACAAACTACATTTTTACATTTCCTGCCCAAAGGAGTATTTGCATAGAAGACTTAATAGTTTGCCCTTACTGAAGATCTCATTTATTTTCTGCTTGGTTAGCAAATATTTATTGTGCCTACTGTGTGCTGGGGCATGGTCCATGCTCTGGAGATGTAATCACGAGGAAGATGGACACAGTCTTCCAGGAGTCTTTTGTTTACTGGATGGTGGTGGTATGGGAGTTGGGGTAGACAGGAAAAAAACTCTAAACAAATTTATAAGTTAGCACCATAATTTCTAGTTATAATCAGTGGAAGGGAATAAAGAAGAGCAAGGTGTGGGAGGGGGGAGCGTGCTGAAGTAGAATAGCCAAAAAAGGGCTCTCAGGACATGACCCGGGGCAGACACCTGGGAGGAAAGGCCAGGGAAGAGCTGGGGTGGCCCCCAGGGATGCTTCCTGGGCCTTTGTCCAGCAGGAATGCACTCTTCTACCTCCATGTACACCTCTCCAGACTTCCTCCACATTTTGCGTTCACTTCCTGGACAGGATGAACACAGCCAAGGGAACTGGGCAAATTGTCCTCGAGTGTTGTGTGTGCTGGGTGCCATATTTCTCAAGAAGCAGCTGACCACAGAAGCCCAAAGCTTCTTGAGGAGCGTTGCACTCTGTTGTTGCTTACGTGTTGGTCTGGGGGTTTTGCACAGCTCAACCTGCAGCTCTCTGAAGTCTGGTGGCCTTGTAACTTGTCACTTTCCATGCATGGATTGTCTATTGAGGCAAGATGTTGGCGAGGAGTGAAAGACTTTCTAATGGTCCCGTAAGACTGGAGCCAAAAAGTGTTTGTTGCTAACTCTCTTGACAAAAGTCAGTTCTTAGTCCATCTGTTCACCATTTGTTAATTTGCATTGGCTTGAAACCTGTTTACAGGTGACATGCTATTATGAGGACACTTAGAAACTATTTTAAGCACCAAGGCAATCAACAGACTCTGTTCTGATGCCAAAGGAAGAAAGAGAGAGAGGTATTCACAACTGTCATTATAAATTTATAATAAATCACTCAAAATACTTAGTTTCAAAGACAAAAGTAGTTACTGTGTGTGTCCTAAGAATACAACAGTGAAATGATTTCCTATACTTAGTCACCTATTTCCTATGAAAACTGACTGCTGCTTTTTCACATCTTGGAGTTTTGGGGGCTTACATTATCCTGGAGTCTCTTCATAAAACTAACATCCAGTGGCAGGATGTACAGCTAAGACTCTCATTGCACTTTTATTGAACACCTACTGTGTGTTACTCGTTGTGTTTGATATTAGCTAGAAATTCCATATAGCTACTGGCCTTACTGGGTTACAAAAACCCTTTTTAAAGTTCAAAAAAAAAAAAAAAAAAAAAAAAATATATATATATATATATATATATATATATATATATATATATATATATAACAGTAGTAATATATACATAATGTAGATTTTAAAAAACCCCAAAGACTATAAAAAAGAAAAAAGCTAATGTCATCCTAAAAAAGTTCTTACTAAAATTTCAGTAGATATTAATTCCAGACTTTTTTCTGTATATACGTGATTTTGAAAACTATATTTATATTACAATATAATCCCAAAGAGTTATATTGTAATATAAATATTCTCAAAGGTAGTTTTAGTCTAAGGTGGCATGATTTGATCTGTGGGATTTTAGAATTTGCGTATTGCTAGTGGGGTTATGGTTGTATTCTATAGATTCCTAATCACAACATTTTTATTATAAGCATGATAATACCTGACGTTAACTCCTTAAATTCAAGGAAATCCCTTGAACCCCCTTTAAAAGACCCAAATTCTCAAATGTGGTCACAGAACAAATTGCTCCCAAACTTAGCATTTTAACCACGTGCACATTATCTCTCACAGTGTCTGTGGACCAGTACTCTGGGATGGTTTGTCTGGGTGGTTCTGGTCCACAGTCTATCATCATGTTGCTGTGGGGAATTGGCTAGGGCCACAGTCCTCAGAAGACTCAACTGGGTCAGAAGCTCTGCTTCCCAGGTTGCTCACTGGTGCCGGCTGTTGACAGGAGACTGTGGTTCCTCTCCACAGGCTGCTTGAGCACCCTTGTGATATGGCGGCTGGATCCTCTAGAGGCAGCAAGCTCAGCCAGAGAGAACCAGGTGGAGGCCATCCTTTTCACGATCTAGCCTCAGAAGACACACGGGTCACTTGCATTTGTTCTCTTCATTAAAAATGAGCCATTAAGTGTTACTGACATTGAAAGGGGGCCGGGCGTTAACTCTCCTTTTGAAGAAAGAGTGTCAGAAAATGTGCAGACATACTTTAAAGCCACCTAGTTGCAATGGCCAGCTGAGCTCCCCCGGTGGAAGAACTGGCTCAGGGAAGGACTGGCTGAGCTGGCCAGCCCCATTTGCGTGTTTATTCAGTAAATGTTTTCTGTGGGCCTCCCAGAAAGATGTAATAATCTTGGCCTTCAGGAAGCTCTGAGGAACAGACAAGTAGCAGGACATCATGACAGCAAAGGCCAGGTCCTAATGATGGACCCCATGCCTAGGATGGCCATGCAGGGTACAGGAGACACACCAGGGGAGCCCGACTGGCTGCCGCTGCCAGCTTTCTCCACCCCCCCCCCCCCCCCGGAAGGATGGAGGCTTTATCTTGTGGAGGGAGCTCCAAGCTTTCTCACATAGCCCCCGTATTCTGAGGAAAGGTTTACTTCTAAGCAATAGAGGGAGCCAGGGAAGTGCTCTAGGTGCTCCTGCACACCACGGCCCCTCCCCAGCCCTGGCCCCTCCCCAGCTCTGCCTGGCTGAGCTGAGACCACAGGGTGGCGGGAACGCAGACTTGTAGGATACGTTAGTTTTTCAGATGCACTTGGCTTTAACTGTAGGAGTCTTTGAAGACTCCAGTTCCCCCCCTGAGTTCCATAGGATGATTTGATTTGTGAGATTAATGATTCATATCTTTCTTCCCCTCCAAAGAAGCTTGTAAGAAGATAAAGGTGTTGTTTCACCATGGAAGATCTTTTGCAGTGTGTTAGTTTCAGGGCCACCGATGAAGCACCCTCCCTTTCACGTGTTCCTTAGTCTTGCAGGCGGGACAAGTCTTTGCATGCAGAGCCTGTCTCCCCTGTTGCTGGGTAAACCTCACGGGGCCTCTGACCCTCACTGGTCAAGGTCAGCCTCTCTGAGAACTGGGCTTATCAGATTGATCGGTAAGTTGTGTTTGCAGATATCTGGGTATATAATACCTGCCAGATTGGGTTGTGTTACTTGTGCTGTCTCTCAGAGCCTCAGCTTTCTGGTATGATTTTGGGGTGCTCTGTGTTAACATGGGATGTTGGTTTTGATGGAGATGGCCAGCCTGAGTGGCCTCTGTCTCCTGGGTCTCAGCAGCCGATAGAGCAGGCTTTCAGTGGCAGCAGAAGTGAAAGGTTCTTCTCTGTTCTTATTTTGCACACCTAGGTTTCATTTAGGTTTGAGAGAAAAATAGTTTTTCAGAAGTTAGTTTAGAGAATACTGTCCCCATGCCCTGGAAGTTGAGACAGGCAGTTCCTTCTGTGTGACTGTCTTCCAGGAGAAGCCCCTTCCTGCTGAACCAAAGGCACGCTTTCTTTCATGGGCGCTTACCCGCAGTCACTCGGGTGGACTGTCCACGTTTCCTGTCCACTGAGCTCCATCCCTCGGCTGCTCTGGGCTGTTTCCCCATTGCTCCTCTTTTTCTCTCCTCTCCCGTTGGTCATTGTCCTTTCTCTTGGATCATTCCTGTGAGTAGACAGTCCACCTCCTGCAAGAATCCCCATCTCTGGATCCCACTTCCCTTGTCAGCTCCCACCTCGTTCCCCTCCTCTTCACAGCAAGCCTCTTTGAAGTCGTTGACCTCTTGTCTCTAGTTTGTACCCCCCAGGCCACCACTCTTGGAATCTCTCCCTGTCCCTCGCCTTGACTCCTCTAGAATGCTGCACTGGTGGAGTTGTGCAGACTGTCGTGTTG